TAGGGAAAGTATGCCGCTTTCTGTTTATCCACCACCGTTAGTAGTTAGCATCCTCTTTTGTGGAGATTTCTGGCTGCTCATAAAAATTGATACAAAAGATGAAAAATGGTTTTTGAGGTTCTTGAGATAATCCATTCTTAACTTGTAATTTGAAGATTCTTGAGATTGGAAGTCGTCTTGTAAGTTCGGTTATCAACTTGTCAGGTTGCCAAATTACATGGTCAATTTGTGGAAGCGCTCAAAGATCTGTTCGAGGGGCACAAGGCCCGCGCTGGCTACCCAGATCTTGAGTTGAAAATTCTTTGAATAATTTGCTGTCACGGAATCAATCTATATCACTCATGTAATACCTTTTTGTTTTTGTTTTTTATTTATACTCCAATGTAATAGTAATATCCTCCTTTGAATATAAGTATAATTGGATTATTTAAGAATCTTTACAAGTCATATGAAAGCGAATGTTTTTGCTTCCTAGTATGGTGTTTAAGGTGTGGCAAGCGAGTAGGACAGGACAGACTGATGACAATGAGACATATCTTCGAGGGCAGTTGATGCTTTGGTGGTTCAACGTTGGCCCGACATGATCGGTTGGTTGCAGTTGCCAAGTCGAACTCTTGCTCAGAGAAACCATCACCTCTTGGTCAGAATCTATAATATGCATTTGGTCCTGGCTAAAACTTGAACAAGGACATTCCTCTGGTCTGGGACTAGAGGAGCATTGGAACAAGGGGGCGGGCCGCAAATGCGATATATGCCCCCTTGTTTTTGTGGAGGAAGAAGATATCAGATGGGGACAGTGGTACGAGATTTTGTCCCAAGTCTGAGTTTCATATTGATTATGTAAGACCTGTGGATAGGCCAGGGCGCTGAACAGAGCAATCAGCCTTTCGGGTTCAACGTCAAGATCTGTTGTGTACCCTTCACGCATCCCAGCAAGACCAGGCCTCTTACCATTGTTAAACAGATAGCGAAATTCGATTTAGAAGAGGAAGAAAAGCGAGCCCAGATGGAACAGGATATCGCGTTCCAAGACCTTAGTAGAAGGCTGAGATCCTAGAGAGATATAGAAGAGCAAGAGATCCACAAGTAAGACAGCAATTCTCAATTGGGTGGTGTCGTGTGAAACCTGCTTGCACTTGTCTAAAGGAGACAACTTTATTTTCAGAATTTGCGGGTTACCAACTCCCTCTCACGTCTATGCCACCCGGCAGATCAATCAATAAAGTCTGTCTTTTTAAATTGCCAATTCCTACCAAACTCCTCGTAAAGTCAGTCGTCCACCCCTGACAAAGTCGTACATAGAATACAAGCCCTCGTTTTGTTATATACATATGATATATATATATATATACATATGTGCTGATATTGTCGTCTGCAACTGGAACAGGAGGTGGTTTGTGAAATGGAAAAAAAAGGAAAAGGGTGGCGGAGGGGAAGGGGAGTGAGGCTTAGCCCGAAGAGATTGGGGGTGAAAGGGTTGCGCGTGAGAATCACACGCTTCTTCAAGCTCTTGACGAGGAGATGGAGATGGAGATTGAGACTGTGTTGTCCGAGTAGCGACGAGAGCAGGAAGCGGTTGGTGAAGGAAGAGCCTTACGTCGGCGGCCGCAGAGGATCTCTAGACCGCTCCAGCTCTTTTTACGCCGATGCTATTGCAGACTGTATAGACTTCATCAACCGCTCCTCTCTTTCTTAGCATCTCGTGTTGTCTCACGCGGAAGATTTCGGGGTTGCAGGTATGCGCGGTTCGGTTTATTCAACCGAATTTATAACCAAGCGGTTATTTGATTTTAATTGGATCAGTTCGACTATATTTTATTAAATTTGTAATCAAATCATAACCAAATATAAATTCACTTATATTCGATTATATCTAATTAAAATTGTAATAAAAAATATGTTGTATATTAATAGCTGATATTTAGGTGGAATAAAAATTCGATTTATTTGGTTACAGTTAATTTAGATTCAATTCAGTCAGTTATTTGATTTCGAATTCAGTTATTTTGGATTTTAAAAATTGAAAAGTAAATATTTTTTTTAAAATTTTAATCGGTTCCATTTAGTTTAGTTATAATTCTATTATGTTCGGTTTTTAAATAACCGAACGGTTTGGCGCAAAAGGCTTTGATATGGAACATATGATTACTATACACAATGCATTATTGCTGCGAATAGAGGGCCTTAAATGGGCCTGTGGTATGATAAGCCGGGCCCAGCAGGAGAGAGTGTTTTAGTTTTTAATTTCCGGAACAGAGCCTGCCATTTTCTCGCACCGGTAGACCGACGACGGCGATGGTCGGAGCTCTGCTGCGTAAAGCCCGTGGTTTGGTAGCAGTCACAGCCACATCCGCCGCCCTCGCCGCTTCTCTTTCTCTTTCATCCTCTTCGTATTGTTCGTCTTCCTCAGGGGAGACTCTCAGGACAGAGCTGTGCATCATCGGAAGCGGACCTGCTGCCCACACAGCCGCCATCTACGCCGCCAGAGCCCAACTCCGTCCGATCATCTTCGAGGGATGGATGGCCAACGACCTCGCTCCAGGTGGCCAGCTCACCACCACCTCCGTCGTCGAGAACTTCCCCGGTTTCCCTGATGGCATCCTCGGCCTCGATCTCGTCGACCGCTTCCGCCACCAGTCCCTCCGCGCCGGCGCTTCCATCTTCACTGAGACGGTTACCAAAGTCGATCTTTCCTCCTCTCCTTTCCGGATATTCACCGATTCGAAGTCCGTCTTGGCCAACGCCGTCATCGTCGCCACCGGAGCCGTCGCCAAGAGGCTCCATTTCAAAGGCTCCGATGGCTTCTGGAACCGCGGCATCTCCGCTTGCGCCGTCTGCGATGGGGCTGCTCCCATATTCCGGAACAAACCTCTGGCGGTTATCGGCGGGGGAGATTCGGCCATGGAGGAGGCCACGTACCTGACCAGATACGGATCGAAGGTGTACATAATCCACCGGAGAGACAGACTAAGGGCGTCGAGGATAATGCAGCAGAGGGCGATGTCAAACCCTAAGATTGAAGTAATATGGAATTCAGAGGTGGAGGAGGCGTACGGGGAAGGAGTACTGGGGGGTTTGAAGGTGAGAAACGTGGTATCTGGTGAAGTGAGGGATGTGAGGGTGTCAGGATTGTTCTTCGCGATCGGGCATGAACCCGCCACCAAATTCTTGGATGGGCAACTGGAGCTAGATGCTGATGGCTATATCGTGACGGAGGCCGGAAGTACACGGACGAACGTGCGCGGTGTTTTCGCAGCGGGAGACATCCAGGACAAAAAGTACAGACAGGCCATCACTGCTGCCGGCACTGGTAATCAATCCACTGCATTCTCTTTAATGCTATTCAGTGATATACATAGGGATACGTTCGATATCTATCCATGTTTGTGGCTGGGGGGTAATGCAGGGTGCATGGCTGCTTTGGATGCTGAACACTATTTGCAGGAGAGTGGGTCTCAAATAGGAAAATAGCAACTGAGTCTCATCTTCAAGCACATTGTTATGGTTTCCTGATATTATCATTTTGTCTGAGATGAAGCTGTAGTTTTGTTATTCGAAACCTTCTTGTATCTGATTTTGATAATAATAAGGGCAGAGCTTCTGTTTAACATGAAATTAATCCCAAGTACATCACTTGGAACCTATTTAGCTTTGCATTTGTGATTTACTGTTCAAGAACATCAAGTTGGTCGGTGGTGCTCGTGGCGGTGGTCCGGTCTTCTTCCCATGATATATATAATGCCTCAAAACAGATGTTGGTTTTGCCATTTTCTTCAGTGCCTTTGTTTTTCTTTATACAATATATGTGATCTCATCCTGTGTCTAGTACAGTGTGTTAGAAGCATATTTGTGCTTAATTTACCCAAAGCATTCTTTCATCGAAGTAGTTAGCTGCTCATTACATCAGGGAGAAGAGATCTGCTATGGAGCTTGTGCCGTCAATGTCAGAAATTGCTGAAGAGAGTGCTGGCAGCTCTGCGTCTGTTGCACCGTCCGTCGTCACTCTATGTGGGTCAGTTTGCTCAGTTACTTGAGAAGGGATAAGCTCTTACATTTCATCCGTATGTCGGTTTATGGTTATTGCCTACACATCAATGCCTATTTCAAAATACAAGTGTGTAACATGTTATTGTTTTTTCTCTCTCATGGTTTACAGTATCACCGTTAGAGACTACACACGGTTTGCAATTGCTGAAGAAAAGAAAGTTCAGGATTCCTTCGAAATCATTGCCTGGCTAAAAAATTCTTATGAATCGTTCGCCAACCTTAAGGTCTGGAGGATGGCTTCCCTTTGTGGATTTGAAGTAGTTCGGGTGTACTTTTTTTTGGGCTTATTTCAGCAATGCTAAACATAGGTGAAAGAGCAAATGAAGCAGCAGCAAAAAAAAACAGCAAACAGGAATTTCTAAGAGTGAAGATGTAACGCAGAGTGGTGAAATGTTTTCTTTGGGTACAAAATATCACGGGTTTCTGTTCCTCTGAACCGGAACAAGAAATGTCTTTTGGGGATTATGAATTTTCCAACTCCCAAAAGTTTATTGATTCTGAGAGAAAACATCAAGACTAGTTCAGATTTGAGTTTGACCGAATCTGTGAAGTCCTAGTAGCAGAATTTCGTTTGAGGCGGAGAAAATACTTCTGGGCATGGCTCGCTATCTGAATAGGCGTTTTGGTCATCACACACTGCCTTGAGATACTTCTCCAGTCTCCTTTCCCGTACTTCTCCAGACCTATCAGAAACTGCCTGCAAATAGGAGAAACCGAACTCAACTTTGAAGCAGAAACAAGGTTCTTAATCTGAGATGATATGTGTGCATGTATAGTATGTATGTATGTACTCATGCTCTTCTTTCGTCCATGGAACCGCCTTCTTACGATGGTGCTTGTGTTTGATTGCAGCAGCGGTTGTCCTCCATCTATCGCCACTGTTCTGTCTGATCGTGCTTCCACTGTCCCCATAATCAGGTAGCGGGATAAGTCCATGCTCTATTGTCCTGATGTCTTCAATCAACGCATCGAGGTGCATCTGGATCTGCTGTTTGGTCTTTCCGGAGAATCTGGAAGATATTTCTCCAACAATGTCGGAGAAACTGTTGTCAGCATCAACAGCAGCCGCAGCTGCCGCTATTGCGTTTTCAAACGTCTTGTTCTCATTCCAACTCCATTCCGGTATGTCGTTCCCCCTCAGATATCTCGCATTGATCATTGCCAGAACGGCCCCACGAGATTCGCTCATCTCTCTTTGCTCTTGGCTGTGGTATGGTATGTTTTTTTAATACCCTCTTTTGTTTTCTAAGGCCCAATTGAATTATAGACGATAGACTTTGTCCAGATGAGGAAGTGAGCCTTTTCCTTTAGGAAAGACTTAGATAGGCAGTGATGAGTCACATTTCCGTATATTCTTTCCTAACACGTCTGCTTTCTGCATTCCGTGTACATAGGTTTTTTCCTTGAATTGATAACAACCGTTATTTACTTTTATAGTGGCTAGGAAGATCTAGAGAATGCATGCATTCTATTTCAAGATCAGTTATCCATTTCAAGATTTTAGAACTGGGACCTATCCACCTTCCCTCGCAATCATTTTCTGTGGCTTGCCAGAGATTATTTTTTGTGTTGTTGAAAATAGATTCGTTTTTTATATCTATATCTAGATATATACCTAAATTATTTCGTGCGGTAATATGTTCAACACAGATTAAACGTGTGAAAAATAGATTCCTGCAACAGCTGATTGTTACCATATTCACGCTCTGTGGGCTGAATTTTCACTTTTTATACAGCCCTTTTGTAGACATTATTTACTGAAAAAATCATAGTAGGTTTACACTACTGAAGAAGAAAGTGATACAGGTGAGTGGTTGCATCAACTCTCCCGTCTCTCTACTCACGCCGGTGATGGTAAAGGCTGAGTGTCGAGATCGGACGGGTAACAGTCCATGGTCTTGGATCGGTGCAGAGTTGCCCCGGAGGCGGTCTTGGCCGGGAGCTTCCTCTTTCCGCCTTTCCCTTTCTTGGCAGCCATTTGCCACTTCTTCAATGCCTTTGCCATTTGCTCATCAAACACGGCTCTCTTCATGTGAGATCCCATCTGCCCGCATCATCATCAACAACAGGTTTAGTTCCTTTGCTTGTTTTTACCGTTTTTTCCAGACACTTATGTTTTTTTGTTGTTGAGAAACATAGTACAAGTACCTGAGTGACGAGGGCATACAGCGGGAGCGTGATATAGCTGCAAAGAAACAAGGCGCCTAGGCTGTGGAAATCCATCCAAAGGCGTTCAGCTTGTTAGCTCAGTGTTCCAAAAGACAACTTCATGTTTATTAAGAGTGAAATGAAGAAGGCTTCTTTACCCAAGGGAGAGTTTGATAATGGCCAGGTTTAAATCATTATGGAAGCACGATCTCAATCCAAACGAATACTGCAGAGCCCAAGACAAAAGTATCTAGTAATGAGCCGCCGTATAGTAACCGTATATCGAAGGTATAAAGAGATCGGATGTGTATTACCCATATCCAGAAGAAGTACGTTATCTGGAAAGCGTTCTGCATACACGAGGGAAACGCCACTCGTTAGATAAAAGAAAGCATGAGATCTCGACGAGTATTCGGAACTGAAGCGGTCTAAGCACCTGAAACAAGGCGAAGTGGATGAGATGAAGAAGCAACTGAGGACTTTCGAACCAAAAATATTTGTCTGAGCCTTGCACAAGCGGTATTCCCTCGACCACTGCATGTCTCTCCGTGATTTCCAGAGCCATTTTCGTCAGGATTGCCTGAAGCTTCGTCCCAACCGCCAAAACTATCTGCAAAAGTTGTGTCGGTAAGAATCTGAATACATCATAGGATTCGGTTCGAGACCGGAAAACGTCTTACGATCACTGGAAGTATTGACGCCCAGAACAAAGTCTTCCATCCTGAAAAAGGGAAAGATGTTTACAGTACGCCCGGATTTGCAATTAGGTGAACAATGGCGACTGTCTTTCCCGAAAAAGAAGGAGGTTTACCATTAACGTTCAGCAGCAAGAAAATCACAAACGATGCCCACAGAACTGGACTGCAGAGCAAAAGTGCTATCAGTGTAAGCAAACCCTACCAAGGAGGAGACGATTACAGTGAAATTCCTTCTACTTGCCTTATTCCGACCGCTATCTTGAAATCATCCTCCAGTGATCTCTTGATATATTTTTGGAAATCAAACTGTCTTCCCGGGGTTAAATGTGTCTGAAAAGAAAGAGAGTTGCATGTCATGATCAGGCACGGCGAATGGAAAAGGATAAAACTTTTCACTCACAGCGATGAATCCATGCCGTAGAGTCAAGTAGTCGGTTCTCCCGACCGACCTGAAGAACTGACGTAAGAAGCATCCCTGTAAGGCAGTGTTCACAGAACGCAAATATCAACTCCAATGAAGAACTACTAGCGTGAAAAACCTTGCTATAACGGTTTGTACTTGCACCAGAACAAGAAGAAGAAGAAGAAAGACATGGAAGAGAGAGAGAAGGCTTCTTACGAGATAAAACAAGAAGGGAACTCTTGTCCAGAAACTGGTATGTGCTCTCACAAAGGACGTCTCGTGAGTGAGCCTGAATCTCGATGGATCTGCACGTAAAGATGAACTATGAGCAAGTGACAATATAATGCCAGACCAGGTCGACCAACGGATGAGGCAAGAGGGTCTGATGAAAATACCGACAGAAAATTGGTAATCATGAGATAATGTCTCCTTCTCCCATTTCTTCCAGCCACGGATCTACATTCGGAAGTCCAAGAAGATTGATTAGTGGCATTGACATGGTTGAAGCATTTTCAGTTTCAAACATCGATTTGAACGTTTACGCATTACCTTTAGCCTGCCGAGCATCATGGTGATGAAACTGTAAAGGACATGGAAGACCGCCAAGAAAAACAACAAAATGTGGAGCTGATGCAGACCCTTGACAGACATGAGTGGTTCATGACCCTTTTTTATAAAACAAAGAGTGAGGAACAGAGATCCGCCAAAAGACTGCTGCACTATTTATTTGAAGGGGGGAAAAACGACCTTCTTGCACTGATAAGAGGTGTTGTCGGCAGCAAGATGTCTGCGATGGGTCATGTCAGGAGCCGGACAAGGTAACATAGTGACCGCAGCCTTTTCAGGAATGCAGATCTTCAGAATGTAGGCCTCTCCGAACGTGAGCAACAAGGAAATGAATCCCAGAATCATCAGCTCTGCATTGGTTTTGGTTAGGGTTCACATCAACGCTTTAGTTTCATTCAGATTAGAGGCAAAAGCTTCTGGTCTTACCGGCTTTAATCTTGTCCAGGGCTTCAAGCAGAGAGCTCTTGTGCTTTTCCCACAACCACTGAAGGCAAACAAAGATGAGTTAGCCAACCAGAAAAAGGGTTTTTGATTCAAAGAAAGGAAGAAAGGAAGGAATTACGGACCGAGGTGACTCTGTCTAGACCCTTTTCGAGAAGAAGTGAGATGAAGATGAAAATGGTACAGACGACAGCAACTGCCCATGTCGGAATCTGAAACAGCTCTCTTTCCTTTCCGCCGCCGTCTGAGGAAGCTCCGCCGCCGTCCACGGCAGAGCACAACACCATCGTCCAACACAGCCATCTTCCGCTCATTTCTGATGATCCTAACGTAGAGCGAGGGAGAAAAAAAAAAGAAATCCTTATAAATGCTCTGTTGACTGACTTTCCGTTTGCTCCTCTTCTTTATACAAAAAGAGAAAAGGGCGGGACTGTTACGAAAGCGAGAGGATAATTAATAGTGTCGTCATATAACTAAGAATGTGTGTTCTTTCTCTTGTCTTTTTCCTGACAAAGACAGCCGCCACTCGTTCCAGATAATTATGCCCTTAATCCTTTTTAGCGCTCCTTAATCGACCAGGCGAGTTTTAAATATTGTGAGGAAGTTAGTGGTAAAAGCATCCACGGGCAGCAATTATTTTCCTCTTCCAACTTAAGACTTTTTTAAAACAAAATAATATAAAACACAATATAATAATATTATATGCACTCGCCTTTTTGTTTATTTACAAATTAGGTACACACACCCGATTTGCATGTTTTTTAATTAAAAAATGGAAAATTAACATTTTCCTACACGAATTTATTAAAATGTGACCTTTTCATACACGAATTTTTAATTTGACAGAAAACTACACCGAAATTCAAATTTTTCCAAATGTCTACACTAATAATCTAATTAAGCTTAATTGACTACATAATCAGAAACGGCGTTACAATTTTTTAGTTTCTGTTAAATGACTCCCTGACGTGGATGACACATGTTATTTTTTCTGCCATGTGGCATGCCACATCATTAAAATGAGTTGAAATTAAAATCTCCCAACTCTCCAAATTGAATCTAGGGTTTCTTTTTGTCTTCGACACCGAAGCTCCCCCTTCTGTCTTCTCTTCATGCTGGTTTTCTTCGACAATCATCGCTAGTGAGGGAAACAAGAGCATAAACGCGAAATCGGTTCGTCTGTGTTGATAATTTGCTCCGTTTTCTGGGTTTGATTTTTCCATTCGAATCTCGCTTCGATTTCTTGAGACTGATTTCTGGTTTTGTTTTTGTTACCGAGCGATTCCGATTTGGCTGTCGATATTTATCTTGTTCGTGGTCTGGGTTGTCTTCTGGCTATATTTTTGTTGGACCGAACTCCTCTCCTATTATCTTATTTCTTCATTACATTGTTTTGCGTAGGGTTTTGTAGCGTGTTAGCAAGAGTTGTGTGTCGACGCCGAGGAAGCTTCAGAAATAGAATATGGAAAAATGAGGTAATAAACTAGGAAAATAGTGTAGTTTCTCTGTATTGTTACAGTCGAATTTACGGTTGGACTTCGATGTACTTGAAAGCATCAGTAACCGTGGAAGAAATTGGAGTTTACCACTATGTTTTCTTGTTTTGTTGATGTTTTACTTGATAATAACGTTAAAGTTGTTTAATTTGCAGTTGGAGTCGAATGAATTTCTTCATGGGAGGTCAGTTTGAAGAAATAGAAGGCAGAGCATATTACTTGGGTGGGTTTGAAGAAATAGGAGTTTTGGTTGATATTGACAAGGTATCATGGTTTTTCTTCGAAGAATATGTTCGGTCTCACAAAATAGGAACTTATATCAGGGAGTTGTGGTATAAATTACCAAATGAATCTTTGGATGATAAAAGGGTAGTGCGAGAAGAATTTTGTGATAGTGACATTCGAAATATGATTGAATTAGCGAGGGAATCTGGCGAATTGGATGTTTTTGTGGACCATCATTTATCACAACCAAGACCTACAAAAAGACTAGTTGATGTTCGAGTTGAGGAGGAACAACAACATGATAGGAATTTCGATGCGGAAGAATATAGAGAGCAGATATATGCAGGGGATTTAGGTGGATATAACAGTGATGAAGATGATGTGTAACAACCCGTGACCGCTACGAATTGTCGAAACTGCCCTCACACAGCAACCCGAGACCTTTCAGCGTGTTTTGTCCTCACTCGCACGCATACCGAGACACTTCCCAGTAGGTCACTCATCCTAAAATTGCTCCAGAGTCAGCACGCTTAACTTTGGAGTTCTCTCGGGATAGTCAACCAAAAAGGTAGGTGCACCTTGTTGCTATGAGTAGCTCAACTAATTCTTTTATGTTATCTTAGACTGTATAGTCCCATACCTATACAGCCTCGGATCTCTCTCATTCCGGTGTGTTCGATTCATCCCTGTACCCCCTACCCAGAAGCTCGTCAGGAGCCGCCCCTTGTCCGTGCCTCTGCACCGGCGATCACTCCCCGCCCTCCTACGGTACTCTAGGTTGTCACATGATGATTTTGTTGTTGATTCTAGTGATGATGGTAGACTACATGATGATGATGAGGATGAAGATTCATGTTTAGGTGACACCCCTGGTAGTGAGGATGAAGATTTTGCTGTTGAAGTCCCGGTGGGTGTAGGTCTAGAATCTGATGTTGATAATGATGAAGTGGATGATGAAGCTTCGACGGATGAGTATTTGGATAGTGATGACTATATCCCTCTTACACCGGATTGTACTGATGATGAATGTAAAGAGGGTGATAAACCAAAGAGAAAGCCAACCGCATTTCCATCAAATGAAGTGTTGTTTCTTGGAAAGACTTTCAATTCGGGTGATGAGTTTAAAAAGGCTTTATTGGACTATGCGCTACAGAAAAACTTCAATGTGAAGTTGTCAAGGTGGGAACGGACCAAATTAAGTGCAATTTATTGTAAGGAAGGTTGTCCTTGGAGGGTATATTGTTCGGTTGAAGTCCCCATTAGCAAATGGATGGTAAAGGTTTACAATGACGATCACAACCATCAACTTGAGACATATCTGAATATGTTCACCATGAGACAAATTGCGCATCTATATGCGGAGAGGTTTAGGAGAGAACCAGATTGGAAAGCGGAAAAGTTGCAGATTGCAATTCAAGAAGAATATGGTGTGTCTGTCCCAATTAGCAAGTGCTTCAAGGCTAGGCGTATTGCTCTAAAAATGGTCATGGAAGATCCCTCTGTACAGATTGCTAAACTATGGGACTATGAACTAGAATTGCGTAGGTCGAACCCGAATACGACAACTGAAATCGGAACAAAATCAGCGGCTTTGGGAGTTCAAGCATTTGACCGTTTCTATGTTAGTTTTGAAGTACTAAGAGAAACATGGAAACAACATTGTCGACCTGTAATTGGCTTAGACGGTTGTTTTTTGAAGTGGGAAATGAAAGGAGAGCTTTTAGCCGCTGTTGGTAGGGACGCAAATAATGGCATGTACCCTATAGCATGGGCTGTAGTGCGTGTGGAAAGTATCGAATCCTGGAATTGGTTCATCCGAAAATTAAGATTAGACTTGGGTTTGGGTGATGGACATAACTTGACGATCTTGTCTGACAAACAAAAGGTAATGTGTTCTTACCTATTATAGTTTGTTTCAACTTCAGGACTATATTTGTTATGGGACTTTGACCTTTTCATATGTGTTTCCACAGGGTCTGTTGAATGCTATCCAAAAGGAATTACCTTTTGCTGAACATCAAATGTGTACCCGCCATGTATTTGCCAATTGGAAGAAACAGTTTAAGGATTTAGAACTCAAGATCCTCTTCTGGAAAGCTGCGAAATCATATTTGGAAAGTGAGTATGAAGGATATGTACGAGACATTCGACGCTACAACCCATTGGCATATGATGCATTTGTGAGGGCACATCCGAAGAGGTGGTGCAGAGCCTTTTTTAAGCCAGAATCGAGATGTCATGACATTCACAACAACTTATCTGAGAGCTTCAATTTTTCAATCAAAGAAGCACGTTCGCGGCCGATAATTGATATGTTTGAAGAGATTCGTAGGAAAACAATGAAACGGATCTCAAGACGAGCACGTGAAGCAGCAAGGTGTAAAACTGAATTTCCCCCTAGGATCATGAGGATTTTGGAGAAATACCGATAGAAATCTCGATACTGCAACATCATAAATAGCGGGCATGGAAAATACGAGGTAGCTGAGTTTGGGGTTTCTTATGGGGTTGATTTGTCTACTAACGCATGTGGTTGTAAGAGATGGCAGTTGAGAGGTATACCTTGTCAACATGCCCAAGCTGTGATCAAAGTAACGCGACAAAACATTGCGCCGTAAGGAATAAATTATATTCTTTAGTTACATATAGATGTGTCGTGTTGTTATCTAACTGATGTTTTCTGATTTTCAGGTTTATGTCTCATTTCTATCTCAAATCGAAATGGCAAGCAACATATGCAAATAATATCATGCCAGTTAATGGTGAACCGTTGTGGCAAAAATCTGGAAGAATTCCCATTACTGTACCAAAAGTTCAAAGAATGCCGGGTCGACCAAAAAAGCAGAACAGAGTAAAAGACCCCCATGAGTCTCCTTCAAAACCTGGTCACATAACCCGGCATGGAAGGATATTCCGTTGTAGCATTTGCAAACAAACTGGGCATAATGCAAAGACATGCAAAAGTGAACCTACACATAGGCCTAGGATATCAGGAGTAAGTTTTATATTTCTTGCATATTTTATTCTAAACACAATACTGATTACAAAGTAATATGTTATAGGAAGGAGCATCGAGTAGCAATGCATCGCGGTCGACTAACAATGCGCCACGGAAACGGAGACAACAAGGACCATCGACTACCAATGTACCTCCGAACACAACTACTGCTAACTATGTTGAAGGTTTGTTTTGCAACAATTGGTGGTGTTTTTATGTTCAATTTATAGTTTTTTGCATATAAATCGTTTTTTTCCTGGCTAGTGAATTCTATTCCGACTCAATCAAGTCAGACAAAACAATCTGGGCTTCCGTTGAACACTAGGCGTCGTATTCTCATCGGGATGTCGTCTACCACAATCGGGACTTCCACAAGCCGACAACATCCGTTCACCATACCCAGACAACTAAATCTGTCTAACATATCACATGGAAATCAATCTCAGTAATCAGATGGTGTTTGTTTGTTGTTCAAACTCATGTTTCATGTTTTTCCTCATTTCAAGAACATATAATGTTGTTTTGCAACTATGTTTTTTAATGTTTCTTGTCTTTTTGGGACATATAACGTTGATGTATTTTGTATTTCGAGACTTGTATCGTGGATTTCAGTAGGATTTTTTTGGGACAAGATGCGTTTTTCTTCTCTTACCCATAATGTTTGTTATGTTTTGTAATCGAAATTGCGTTGTCTTGCAACCATATTTTCCAGATCATAACATTCTTTTCTTTTGGTGGATCTAGACACCATATTTTATCTACATTAATCAACACAAAACACAATACTACAATAATCCATAATAACATTGACTCATTTAAATATGCCCGACACATATATAAATCCTTACCAAAATGTAATACATATCCAAAAGATCAACCCACAACATAATAATTCATCACATGATCCATACACTACATCTTTCACATCAACCTTCACAGACGCGGAATAACATAATAATACAGACATAAAACACCTAGAATTACAATGGCGCCCAACATTTTATACACATTTCCTTTCAACGGTTCAACTTCAGCCTTCACTTTATCTGCAACATGAAGGACAGTTTGATTTTGTATACGTAATTCTTCGATTTCTTCACAGATTGCTTCATCCGCCCATTTGAATACATGTGCTTGATTCCCCTGAAACCATTATGTACAGTTTATAAAATTTGAAGACTACATCAACATTGAGCTATGACTATCAATACCTCTTGTCTTGCACATCGGAAAAAAACTCTGCCGGGATTAGCTTCCGTCTTAGATGTAAATCTCGATATAGGAGCTCCGCATTCACATTGTACCGGGAAACCTTTTTTTTGGAATTGCTTCGGCTTTCTTCCAACGGGACCTTCCACTAGATTTTGAAGCTCCGTCCGATATATAACTCATCTAGTTCATTAAAACACCATTAAAATTTCAAATTCCAACCATTTCAAATTTCAACCGAAAATTATCCACTTTCATACACCAATAGCTCAACTCAATAGATCCACATTACAATATCATGGACAATATAACAACGTTGATAGAAATCAATCTCAATAGAATATTCATCAGTAACATCCTAATTTCTAACATCCATACAACATCAGCATAATAAATCGAGTTTAAAACCTGTTGTATCTTGCATCACAAAACCAAAACGGACAAAATAAATAACATTCGACTCAAACTTTCGACCGTAAGTAGACCAACACAAGACATACACAAAAGTCGATGGTTAACACCCGCAACCTTCAACAGACAGAATAAAGAGTCACATAGAACCATAGCAAAACACATGAGAAAAGTCAGAGATAACGGCACACAAAAACCAGAGCAAACACAGGCGAAACGACGAGAGAGAGAGAGAGACAATGGCGGAGAGAGAGAGACAGAGAGAGAACCTTCGACCTGTTGGGAATCGAACGCCGAGTAAGAATGTCGGTTGTAAACAGAGGAGAAACGTCTCCCTTGAACAAAACCAGTAGAGGAGAAGACAGAAGGTGGAGCTTCGGTATCGAAGACTAAAAAAGAAACCCTAGATTCGATTTGGAGAGTTGGGAGATTTTAATTTCAACTCATTTTAATGATGTGGCATGCCACATGGCATAAAAAATAACACGTGTCCATCCACGTCAGGGAGTCATTTAACAGAAACTGAAAAATTATAACGTCGTTTCTGATTATGTAGTCAATTAAGCTTAATTAGATTATTGGTGTAGACATTTGGAAAAATTTGAATTTCGATGTAGTTTTCTGTCAAATTAAAAATTCGTGTATGAAAAGGTCACATTTTAATAAATTCGTTTAGGAAAATGTTAATTTCCCTTAAAAAATATATGGACAACATGATAAAGAGTTTCTGGGTAATAAATAGGATTCATTGGGTTTGGACCGGAGCTTCTCCACATTTTAAAATGGGCCATTTCTGGGTCCAATATCCTAAATCGTCATTTTTTTTTTGTAAAGTTGGCAAAATAATTATCTCAATTTTAAATAAATTATATTGTTTATAATTTTTAAAGGGACCCGAAAAAAAAAATCTTAAACAACAACCATTTTATATTATAAATATATAAAAGGGTAAAACCCCTAAAAAACCTTCAACTTGCAAAAATATATACAAATAAACTTTCAACTTGAAAAACTGTCAATCAATCCCCAAACTTGTAACTTGTCACTGAATAAAACCTCGAACTTTCAAATTATTGCTCTAATAAACCTTTGACCGGTTTGACCACAATTTCAGGCGATCGGAAATCTACATATTAACGGATTGCTGATGTCACCTTATACATGTTATCAATTTTAATTTAAAAAATGACATCAGAAATCCGTCAATACGTGGATTTCCGATCGTTTGAAATTGTGATCAAACCGGTCAAAGGTTTATTAGAGCAATAATTTGCAAGTTTGAGGTTTTATTAAGTGACAAGTTATAAGTTCGGGGATTGATTGACAATTTTTCAAGTTGAAGGTTTATTTGTATATATTTTTGCAAGTTGGAGGTTTTTTAGAGGTTTTACCCTATATAAAACAAAACCTGGTCTTACATGGAGATTTTTTGTGTGTGTGTGTGTGGATATATCCTTGAGTTTTGTCTTATCCGGAGGATGACTACTCGGTTATCTTTCTCAACAAGGAAGCGACGCTTTCTTCCCCCTTTCTTGAAAAAAAAATAATATATTTTTGTTTTCTTAATGTTAAATTATCTCTCTCAATGTGTCTGTGTACATATATACTGTGTGTACATACATGCTCTTCCTGGGTTTGGATCATTGGTGACATACATTTGCCTTTTATCTCCTCCAATTTTTTTTTTATAATCAGAAAGTTTATTAATCCTTTGACCCGAAAGTTATAATATATAAAAATTATATTTGTCCATTACCAATTAATATGTTGTATATAAAATAAAAATAGCCAAGGCAAATCTAAAATTAAAAACGTCAAAATTTGCCGACAGTATCGAACCATTTGCATCTTCTTTTATTTATTCTAAATGCTTATCTAATTACCAGTAAGCAACTGCCCTGAACAAATCACTTCCCACCAACGATACACATATAGTGTAAGTATTTGCTTCTATGTAACCCAACAGACGAGTGGTCAAGTTTGGGGTAGGAGGTAATTCTCAAGTTGAGTGTTCGATTCCTGGCTGGTGGGGAGGGAGGTAATTTCTAGATTTATATGATCCATATACAAAGACTGCTCTCGGGGCGGAGGTTTACCTAGTGAACGCGCCCAAAATATAGCAGTATGGATCCTCCGTTATAAAAAAAAAGTATTTGCTTCTACGTATCAACAGAGATTTCACATATGGCAAAACTATATAAACACACAGCCTTATGATGTATTTTATAGTTTACCTGATTCCATCTTTTAAGAAAATAGACCGGACATTATTTACAGGATTCTCTTATATATATGTATATATAATCTTCAAAAGTCTTGGTAAAAAAAGCTAGAGAAATATTATTAAATCTCCAACCAAATAAACGAAATTCTTAGAATCAATTTTTTTTTATATGCAAAGAAGATCAATACCTATGTCATGTAAAAGAAATCCTTTTAGACGAATAATAGAAATTGCTCAAGAATATTTACTTACAGAAACCTATAAAAAAAATAACATTTACAATCTCTCAAAATAAATAAAAAAAATTCTATAAATTTTTTTATACCTCTCATATAATATTCTATTTATAAATATTAATAAACGCGACACAAAAATGATACATAACTCTTCTAATTAAATAACCACATCACGTCTGTTTTTTTTTATTCTATATTATTTACCATATAACCTAATATTATATACAAGAAAGTCGTGAACTTTTTACATATAAATAAGTATAAATCGTTCCAATGATATTGCCAGCGTCGGAGTTTTGGTTGGGTACAAATATCTGACGGACCGACAATCAAATGTCATCGGAAGTAACTTGGGGGCAATAATTAATTAATTTAAAGAAAAAACCTCCGTTGATCTTTTCAAGTGTCAACAGCCTCACACGATCCCAAAGGCCTCCATTGGCAGATTTCTTTCTTTCTTTATTCCTATTCGAACCGATTGGACCAAGCCTCATTATATATACATACACATATATCTATATATATATTGAGCTTTTGAATGTTAAGAGCGACTATATTAAATATGATAAAAACACCAAAAGAGAAACTGCCTTTTGCTTCGCTCGTCAAAGAGATCATAAGAAGCCAAGTTGGCTTCCAACGCCTTCTGTCTTCTGCTCTTCTGAAAAGTTGGAGCTCTCGTCCACTTCTATATATATATATATATATATGTGTGTATACACTTGCAAGATCTTCACATTTCTTTTTGACTGCTTCTGTTTTCAGCATCTGGGCAAGAAAAAGAGATCAAGAAACGCCTAAACATCTGTTGATCATTCGAGGGAGGGTTTGAAGATGGGTTTCTTGGCACTGTTAGAGGTGGCTTCCATGCCCATTGTCCAAGTTCTCCTCATCAGCGTCCTGGGCGCTTTCTTGGCTACCGACTACTGCTCTCTTCTCTCTGCCGAAACTCGGAGATCCCTGAACAAGGTGACACAGCTGGAAAAAAAATGGCGTATATACCTCTTTTTAGATGTATCAGGCATGCATGTAACTTGGTCTAAATTGCTCAACATCCTTTTCGCAGCTTGTCTTCGTGGTATTCACGCCTTGCCTCATGTTCGCCAGCCTGGCCAAGACCGTCACTTTACAGGACATCATTTCATGGTACGTACTGAGAGGTGGTTAAACACTGTTCGAAAGAGAAAAGAGGGGATCCGTACTCATGTGATTATAAAACTCTCTGCTGTCAGGTGGTTTATGCCCCTGAATGTGGGAATCACCTTTCTGGTGGGAGGCGTTCTTGGATGGTTGGTGGTCAAAGTTCTGAAACCGAAACCTCAACTTCACGGCCTGATCATCGCTACCTGTGCTTCAGGCAACATGGGAAACCTTATGCTCATTCTCGTCCCTGCTATCTGCGATGAAGAAGGCAGCCCCTTTGGCAGCCGGAGCGTTTGCAGATCCATCGGCCTCTCCTATGCGTCTTTCTCCATGGCCGTAAGTTTCTTTCAGATGTACACAAGATATAGAAACACTGTTGGTTTTTTCTTTCGCAAATCTTGATTCGACCCGAACGGAATATATGATCGCATGCAGCTTGGAGGTTTCTACATATGGACGTATAGCTACCAATTGGTGAGAAGCTCGGCCGTGCAGTTTAAAGCTCTTGCCTCATCGGTCAAGTCGCAGAACAAGGACATCGACTCCGATCACCACACTCACCTCCTCAAGACAGACATTGAAACCCAAGTGCGTCCTCTGTTGTACACTACAACCTTGAAATCTTTGTCATTCCCTAAAAGAAAAAATCTGAATTTTTAACTGCAGACACAGCATGACCAACCATCTGAGAAGAAAAAGGCTTCAGCTTGGACGAACATAAAAGACTTGCTGCATCAGATTCTTGAGGAACTCTTCGCTCCACCGACCATTGGTGCGGTAAGTGGATCAGGAGCATACTTGGGTTGTTTGTCCAACTAATCTACGATTGAACACCGTTCTAATCAGTTCTTTCTGACGAGATCAGATTCTCGGTTTCGCTTTTGGAGCAACCAAGTGGTTGAGGAACCTTATAATTGGCGAGACCGCCCCTTTCCGAGTCGTCCAAGATTCTGTTCAACTACTTGGGTAAGAAGAATCCCTCCCTAACTGAGTTTTCCATCTTGATGTCTCATCTTTACACCAAAAGTCTGAATCTGCAGTGACGGCACAATTCCTTGTATCACACTCATACTTGGTGGCAACCTCATTCAAGGTAAAGGCGCAAAATCCCATGTTTTTATAACAGTACAGAGATAAAGGGTGAGACGTAACTCAGACACGAGACTTGTGTCTGGTTTTTTGTTTTCTTGTAAATTAACAACAAAACAGGTCTGCGCTCCTCGGCTGTGAAGACATCTGTCCTTGTCGGAGTAATCTGTGTCCGGTACATTATCCTTCCCATCATAGGAATCGGAGTTGTTCAATTAGCCGGGAATTTCGGGTTTCTACCTGAAGATCCACTGTTCAAATACGTTTTGATGCTTCAGTTTACGCTGCCGCCCGCTATGAATATCAGTAAGTCCTCTTTGAATAACAAAAAAACAAGAAAGTGGTTTTTCGCAGCAGAGCTCATAACGGTTTCCCACTGTTGCAGGCACTATGGCACAGTTATTCGATGTGGCTCAAGACGAATGCTCAGTCATCTTTTTGTGGACGTACCTGGTTGCATCATTGGCCCTCACCGTTTGGTCAACCATCTTCCTCTCTATCCTGTCCTAAGAGGATCCACACCATGTCCAATCCCAATCGATAGCTGTCTGTAAATATCGCCTTATTACGGTTAAAAAAGAGTCCCCAATTGGGTGAAGAACCTTTGTCATTGATCACACTTTTGTCATGAATTGAAGAGTTGTACCTTGTACTATGGCTCTGCTTCAAGAATCCAGACAACCTTAGATTTACCAAAGAAATTAATGGAACAGATATTTAAAGCCTAGAGCTGGTTAATTATAATCTTGTCCAACAACCACATAATCTGTTCAAAACTATCAAGATCAGCTAAAAATTAAGCGTATCGAACAGACAATATGACAAGTATACACTGCAGGAAAACGAAAAGAAGGACGTTAATTATACATAAAAAGATGCTGATTTTCACGAGGAACATACCGGATCTGATCAAAACAGGGGAGATGAGAATATGTATCAGCAATGGCTTGTACCATTTACCGTGATATCTTCAAACTGCCTTCGCTTGGACCGACCTTTAACGTCCTCTTCCTTTTCATTAACGAAGGAGAGGAAAGTATGGATGCGTGCTGATGGCGAGCTTCTCCTGGTGGAGGCCTCTGCTTCTTGAGGGAAGTACCGACAGAACTGACGTATTACCAATACTGAATAGATTAAGAGAGTGAAAAGGCAAGCCATTCCACAGACCACAAACAATCCCCAGAAGCTCTTCAGTTCGAGCCTGTCTACTTCTATCTCTGCACCTTGCAATGAACACGCTTTTCTCAGCAACCATTTGTCATGAATCCTCTGAAGATCCCCGTTTTCTGATAGTTGCAGAATCGCCGTCGAGAAGTCCACTGCCAAAGGCGAGTTTCTGGGAAATGCCTATCCAAAATGCGCAAGAATCACTGATTCACTATCATGTTTCAGATGGAAAGGCTTTAAAAGAAGGGGAAAAAAAACACTCACAAATCCCCATCCGTTTTTGGTGAACTCGTGCCCAACTATGCCGAATTCACATCGGTTTGAGAGGAAAAGTTCGATGTAAGCGTGTTCATCCACGACGGCAGCAACGCCGCCTTTACCAGGACCTTCTCGCAGGGCCTTATCATACTCCTCCTGGGAGCGAAGTGGGACAAGTCTCGACTCGTGGATTCTGAGCTCGTTAACCAGATAGTCTCTGATAAAGGAGCCTTGTGGATAGCCGATCCGATCATTGCTTGCCTCCAAAGTCTCTATGCCTTTGATGGGCGACGAGAGCTGATGGACCGTGAGAATTGAAGTAAGGCTCGCAGTGTAACTCGAGTTGATTATGAGAACCACTGATAGCCATATTATCAGCACTATCCGCCCAAGAGTGCTGATGGTGTTCTCTCCTGTATATTTCCATGGAAGAAAGTCTTGGTCAAGTGTAAATATCAGAAAACGATAAGAATCCAGGGGGAAGCTTGTACTTACTGTGAGAGAAAAAGAGAGTTGAAAAGCTGAACCTGCAAGACAAAGTGATCAACCTTGCTGAGCGTGAAAAGCTTGTGTTTACAGTTCTAGTGTTAGTACCAGAAAGTGGTGATGATTTGTCGTCGAGGAGAACCTCGAAACTCGTCGTTGTGTCTGTGCTCCAGAAACCAAATGACAACACCCACCACCAGGAAAGAGGCAGCGGCCACGATCCACATCTGGGGAGTGAACGGCCTCAAGAATGCCCAAGCACTCGAACCGAGCTTCCGGACTGGAGCCACCACCACTAGTCCTGACTCCACGTATGGCTGCGTAAAATCTGCCATCTTGGTTCTTTCTGTTATTATAGTTATATCTCCAATGCCTGCGTCGTAGACCTGTGATAAACACGACGTTTTCGTCAAGAGAAACGGACAGATTGTTAAATGGAGAGAGTGAGTGCTCTCACCCCTGCAGTTATCAGGCGCACCAGCTCTGTGCCACTCGGATTGTCATGTCCATTCCCAAAAGGTATGAGCTCGAATGGGACTGCATAAGGCAGCAGGGTCAAAGCTGCATAGAAGACATCGACACAGTATCCGGTGATGATACCGTTGCTTCCGACAGACACAAACTCTTTGAAACTGTTACGGTTCGGCACTCCAATCCTCAGATGCCTTCCGTTGTAAGGGAAAACCCATCCACGGGGCTTCTGTGTTGTCTGTCCTGGCCAGACTACACTATGAAGCCTCTGTCCCGGAAAAGATTGACTTTTCGTTTCCTCTGGCGGGTTTATGGACAAGCCCAGATGGTTAGACCAGTAGCCGATTGTCCTGTAACCAGTGCCAATGATATTGAGCACATCAAACTCTTGGTTTATGAGGTTCCTGTCCTGAGTAAACTTCATTCGACCCGTCAGCCCGATTCTATCAACGTTTAAGATGCTATCAAGAAACAGCTTTCCTCCATCAAAGATATTCAAAGCATCAAGATGCAAGTTTCCGCCCTGAAATTTGGAAATCATCGAGTTCTTGGAGAAGGAAATATTTCCACCTTTCTTGAAGAAATCATCAATGGCGTGGGCAAGCAACCAGACGGTGTCATAGGCATACAGTCCATAAGTGCTCAGCCCGACATGAGTCATATTATGCCACCTGGAGACAAAATTCCTCTTGAGAGGAGAGTCTGGAGTGTGAATGCGCAGAGCAATGACGCCTTGAATGCTATTCATGGTGTCCATGGGAAGGGGAGAGTCAGTGTCTATGATGGAAGAGAGCCAGTTGGTGGCGATCCACACGTAACCCGTGGTCATCATCCCGAGAGACTGGGCCACGCTGAACACATCTAGGCCCCAGTAGAAGAAAGCATGAACAACGATGATCCGTGACTCGCTCAAAGCTACCTTAACCAGCAAGTTAACGATGTCATCTCTGGTGGGCTCGGGGGGCAAAGCCGCTTTGTATGAGATTCTGCAACGTTTCTCGGCCAATTTGTCGCCCAAGGCGGCAATCCCATTCCGTCCGTAATCATCGTCGCCATAGATAGCTATGACTTCTCTCCAGCCGTAGTAATGGACGATGTCTGCCACAGCGGCCATCTGAAAGAGATCGCTCAGCGAGGTTCTGATGAAGAAGGGGTACTGCAGAGGAGACATGGTGGGGTCTGTGGCCGTGAATGAGAGCAGAGGAATGGATAGTTCTGTCGCGACGTGAGCTACTACATGAGCAGTTGTCGATCTCTGAGGGCCGATTATTGCCACAGTGTCCGTCTCCATGAACCGTAGAGCTTTCATTTGAAACAAAACCCAACCGAACCGTCAGTAAAAGCATTTCACAGTTGCTGGATTTTCTACTGAAATGATGACATGTTGTCGGGAGTGACCAATCAAACAGACAAAGGAACTGTCAGTTGAGCTGTGACATTGATCACGACCGGACGAAGAAGTTTCTAAAACAAAGACCCGTGCTGATGTGAGAACATTTTCGTGAAAGCGGAAAACCCATTTAAGAAAAAGAGCTAAAAACCGAGAGAATCTCAAGATCTATAGAAACTATACAAGAGGATTCGATAAAGAACCACCTAAAAAGGGGAAGAAATCTTTGTAATCAGCATGAGAATAATCTAAAAAGGAAATAAACAAAGGCTCAAAAAAGAGTAAAGGAGCAGTGGCTCACTTTCGACAATGCTCATGAAGCCAATGAACTTAGTGTCGTGCATGATGATCTTGAGATGAGTGCCATTGAGGATGCTCGGGCTGGAATTCACGTCTTCAACAGCAGCCTCCATGGCAACTTTTATGACTCTTCCG